ATATATATATGTGTGTGTGTGTATGTGTGTGTGTGTGAATGTGTGTGTGAATGTATGTGTGTTTGTGTGTATGTGTGTGACAGTCTCTCTCTGTGTCTGTGTGGGTGTGCGTGTGGGTGTGTGTATGTGTGTGCATATACCTGCCAAACAGACGTGGACGCGATATCCAGACCAATCTGGTGCAACGAGAAGCGGTACGCTGTCTTCATAGTTTCCTTGAAGGTGGCCGATGCAGACTTGGAATCCTTCATGTACTTGAGGTACATCTTGAACAGGTCTATGCTGGGGATATCGGGCAGCAGTACCTATTTGCGACGTATCGAGAACGTGATAGTAATATTGAGATTTATACTTGAGATATTATTTAGCAATACTATGGCAGTGTTGTATATGTAATAAGTGAGAAATAGACCGTGAGTACAGGTAAAACGTGAGCACTCACAAAATAAAAAGTGGACTATTAATGGGTGTCTACTATTTAGAAATACAATGGCAGTATTGCAAATGATATAAGCGAGGAATAGACCGTGAGTACAGATAAAACGTGAGCCCTCCTAAAATAAAAAGTGGACTATTAATGGGTGTCGGACGGATCAATACTCCCTTCATGGTTGATCCTTTCAATCGATATCTCTAGGACAAGTGTCTAGTAAATCTAGCATTTTTCTTTCTCCCAACAAGCGCAAACAACTTATTCTAATGCATTCTTCCTCTCCATACCATGCACATGTCGTATCAATAAGACTGTTAATCCAAGATCAGTACGTACTACGCAAATGAAAGTTGGTTCGCAATCGAGTTGAAATTCTCTCGGCATGTCACAGCACCCAACCCACCTCCCCCTCAAATTATACATTTATATATATATATACGTGTTTGTGTGTGTGTGTGTGTGTGTGTGAAAGCATATATATATATATATGTGTGTGTGTGTGTGTGTGAAAACATATATATATGTATATATATATATATATATATATATATATATATATATATATATATATACATATACAAATATATATATACATATATATATATATATATATATATATATAAATATATATATATATATATATATTATATATGTATATATATATATATGTGTGTGTGTGTGCAATATATATATATATATGTATATATATATATATATATATATTATATATATATACATATATATATATATATATATATATATATATATGTATATATATATATATATATTATATATATATATATATATATATATATGTATATATATATATATATATGTTATATATACGTATATATATATTATGTTATATATGTGTATATATATATATATATATATATATCTATATATATATATATATATATCT